CTTTATTGATATATAATTCACACAACATACAATTCACTTATTTAAATTAAATGTTTTTTTTGTATAGCCACTGGGGTGTGTAATCATCACCATAATCCAGTTTAGAACATTTTCATCATCCCACAAGGGAACCCTGTGCCCACAACTGTTGCCCCCTATTCCCCTCAACATCCACCCCAGCCCCCGGCAACCACTAATCTACTTTCTTTTTTTTTTTTTTTAAAGATTTTATTTATTTATTTGACAGAGAGACAGCGAGAGAGGGAACACAAGCAGGAGAGTGGGAGAGGGAGAAGCAGGCCTCCCGCTGAGCAGGGAGCCCAATGCGGGGCTCGATCCCAGGACCCTGGGATCATGAACTGAGCCGAAGGCAGACGCCCAATGACTGAGCCACCCAGGCGCCCCACTAATCTACTTTCTATCAATTTGCCTATTGTGGGGCTTGATTGTATACTGATTGTGTGACTCTCAGGCCTTGAGATGCATCAGATGATCAGAGCTGCAGATCAAGCTGACAGAGTGCCCCTTCTGGATTCCAGCCTGTGTTCAGGCCTTGCCTCGGGCTCCCCAACAGAAGGGAACAAACAGGGCTCTATTATGGTGTTCCTGGGCCTGGGGTACTTTTGCCTTTGTGGGCCCCTTCCTCCCTTAAAAAATGATTGAAAATTGGGGCGCCTGGGTGGCTCAGTCGTTAAGCGTCTGCCTTCGGCTCAGGTCATGATCCCAGGGTCCTGGGATCGAGCCCCGCATGGGGCTCCCTGCTCGGCAGGAAGCCTACTTCTCCCTCTCCCACTCCCCCTGCCTGTGTTCCCTCTCTCGCTGTGTCACTCTGTCAAATAAATAAATAAAATCTTAAAAAAAAAAAAAAAAAGAAGTCTGCTAACCTGCCTGGCTTCCCCCTCCCTGCAGTTGAGGCCTGGACACCATCTTCTGGCAGTCATCTGGGACAATACAGGGTTCACTTCATTTCTTTCCCACTTCTCAGGGGCCACTGTCTTTCAAGCCTGCTATTTCATATATTTTGTCCAGTTTTTTAGTTGTTTTAGGCAGGAGGGTAAATCTGGTCCCTGCCACTCCATCTGTGGTGGAAGCAATTGTTTCTATGCAGGTTATTTATTTTATTTAATTTCTTCAACCACACAGCACCAGAGATAAGTAGTATTATTAATCCTATTTTACATTTAAGATTTTGTGACTTGCCCAAGGTCACACAACTAAGTGACAGCAGAAATAAAATTCAACCCCAGTCTGTGCTAGAAGCCTTCCCTGAACCACTCCTGTGATGACAAGACCTTGAGGGGTTGCCCAACACAGGAGCCCTACGCGAAGATTGTGGATGTAGGGTGTATGTCTGTGGCCTTCCCAAACACAGAGCAAACTGAAGGAAGTTCAGAGACATGGGAGAGAAGGTCTGAGTCTGTATGTCTTTGTGGGAAAGGCCCTGGCCACCCCTGAGGGGGTTCTCTATCTGTGTCCAACTCAGTCTGTATCTCTGACCACGGGATTGTGTGTCTCTGGCTCTGCATGTTTGTCCTCCTCAATTATCTGCCTAGCTGGAGCTGATTTCTAGGTGGCACAAGGCACCTCTGGAAGCCCAGAGGCAGGTGCTGCTCTGGGAATAGCTGGTAACTGCTTCGCTCCCCGTTCCCTTGTCCAAACTTCCCCCGATGCCACATCGCAAGCCTGAGGGGACTGTGCACCCCAGACTCCAGTGGATGGCAGCCAAGAAACCCACAGCCTGGTCACACATGCACTCACAGTCGCAGCCACAGGCCCTGCAGTTATAGCTGCCAGCTCTAAGCACTTTTTGGGGACTGGAACATTCCAGCACTATCTCATTCACTCCACACAACCCTCCCAAGTTCCAGGCTGGGGTGGCCCAGACATTCCCCAGGGTTCTGGGCTTCATGCTGGGTGTGTAGGTCTCCCCACCCAGGAAGACGCTGCCTCGCTGCATTTGGGCAAGAAGTCAAATTTGAGGCTGAGGATGAGGCTCACGGTGGGGGGGGGTTCATTTGAGGAAGCCCACTGGTCCTCAGGCTCCACCCTCCCAGCTCTCTGTGCCTGTACACCAGGGAGGTCCCCGTATGTCCATCTGGGGAGGGTCCCCTGTGTACCCTAGTGCCAGGGATCAGCCACATACACACGGGAGGATCAGCCTAGACACCTGAAGCTTAGTTTCTGCCCTCCAGAGGGGTAGGTATTTGCCCCTGTGACTTCTGGAAAGTCAACAACAGCCTCCTGCCACCAATCTACTTAGTAACAGTAAGCTCTGGTATTTTAGTCCTTTGGGGTTACTATAACAAAATACCATAGACTGGGTGGCTTATCAACAACAGAAACATATTTCTCACAGTTCTGGAGGAAGTCTGAGATCAGGGTGCCAACAGGGTCTGATTTTAATGAGGGCCCTCTTCCAGCTTGTGGATTGCCACCCTCTCAGTCTTGTTACCTGGCAGAGATTGAGTGCAAGTTCACATGCCCGTATCCCTTTTATAAAGACACCAATCCCATCCCATTACAGAGGGCACTACCCATGTGACCTAATCACCTCCAAAAGGCCCCATTTCCTAATGCCATCACCTTGGGGGGTAGGTTTCCACATATGAATGGGAGGGAGAGTCGGTCAGTCTAGAGCACCTGGTCTCTGCTCAGGAGAAGTCTGACCAAAGATTTCCAGCTCTAAGTGGGCAGACTGGTCAGTTCAGATTCTGGGTGGTGACTCATACCTCTTAATTTTGCAAACCAAATCCCTAGAGACACATTCATGGAGCTTTTTCTCTTTTCCTAAAGCTGAACAGGAGAGGAGGAAATTGCTTGTTGACACCACCGGATGATGGCCGGTTCTACCCAGCATTTCATTCAGAGACCGGCTCTGGATGTGGAAAAAGCAGCTCAGCCAGAGCTTACAGAACACCTTCTTGACCCTGGCTGCTAGGGGAGCTGAGGTCCATGGCACCGCAAGAACAATGAGAGGGGAGGGTCAGGAGCCCAGTCAGCCCCCAGCCCCTCTGGGTGTATCTGACGAAAGCAGTGGTCAGCTCGTAAGTTGGAGGGTGAGAGTGGGAGCTGGGGGAGGACAGTGCTGCCTCCCTACCCCCAGGGGCTGCTGACCGCTCCCTCACTGTGTTCAACAGGGCAAGGGGTGCTGGGGGGATCCAAAGTGAGGGGAGGGGTAGAGCTGGAGAAGCCCTCCTTCCCACCAGCCTCTGTCTGGTTGGGACAAGCAGCTGCAGGAAGGTTCCCCTCTCCCGGCCCACTATGTGGGTAAGGATGAGAGAGCAGGGGGTGGGATGTTCCTGCTGGTTCAGGTCTGTGCACCTCCCTTATAGTTGATGAGGGCCAGGCATAGGGCTTCAGCCTTCCAACACTGACCTTCTACTCCTTGCTGAGCTCCTTTCTCCCCACACAGGCATTGGGACTCCTCACTCACAGAGGAGGCCCAGGAGCTAAGCCCAAAGCTACCAGGTGGGTGTCAGGGTCAGGTGGGACACCAGGAGGAGACACATTTCAGGCAGCAGCAGACAAGTACTTTTTGGTAACCATGGTTACCAGGCTGCAGACAGAGTTGATGCACCCCACTCAGGGTGCAGAGCAGTGTGGCCCAGGAGTTTCACAGTGCCAGGGCCAGCTGAGGCCAGGCCCACCCACAGGGGGGGAACTATGGCTCTCAGCAGGTAGCATCTCTCACACCTGTCCTTGTTGGAAACCTGGAGCCTGTGACTCCCCAACCCCATGCTCTGATCCAGGGTGCCCTATCAGTTACTGCCACAGAAATGACCCCCAGCTCTCCTGGATCCCTCAGGGGTAGACCCGGACTGTGGCTCATCAGCACCACGGCAGGGCCCTGGGCCTGTCCCTGCACCCATCCAGTTGGGGCTTGCTAGGAAACTGCTTCCAGGTCAAAGTCAGGCCAATCCACTCTCTTATGACAATAGTTGCAGGGACTATTTCTGGGGTTACTCTCACCAAGAGTCCAGTCCTCACCCCCACCTAACCTCTTCCACAATTCCATTCTCAGGAAGGCAGGTGGGGGCAACTGGTGACTATGGATACATTAGTTGTTTATTGCTATTGTTATTTAAGTTTTACAACTTATTGTCATTGTTATTTTACAACTTACTGTTATTTATTGCTGCCTAACAAATTAACCTACAGTTTAGCAGCTTAAAATGACAAAATGTTGCTTATCTCACACAGTTTCTGAGAGAGAGAAATCCAGGAGCTGCTCACCTGGGTGGTTCTGGCTCAGGATCTCTCCTGAAGTTGCTGTCAAGATGTTGACAGTGGCTGGGATCTCACCTGAAGGCTCAAGGAGTTGGAGAATCTACTTCCAAACTCACTCTCCCTCAGGTCCACACTGTTGGCCTCTCCATAGTAGAGACAGCTGGCCTCTCCCAAAGTGAATAATGTGACAGAAAGAGACACAGCAAGACGTACTTGCAAACTAACATTAAAGAGATATCACATCACCTCTACAGGGCCCAATCGGTCATGAGGGCCAACCTCAGCACATTTACAAAGCTGCAAACCAGAGGGGGATCGCTGGTGGCCTTCTAAGAAGCTGTCGACCCCAGGGCCTGTTTCCTTGACCATGGCACATCCCAGGATGGAAATAGTCCCCAGCGCTCTAGGGAGCAGCGACAGAGCACAGCTGTGGGACACTTTAGGTTCAGCTTCCTGCTCTGGAAAGCTTGCCAGGTGATGGGAGGAGGCTGTGGAAGCCTGGAGATAATCAGGGAACCACTGGAGCTTTGATCGGGGAGCTAACACAAACCAGGGCTCCAAACAGCCCAGCCCTCCCCCCACTCTGAATTTCCAATTGACCGCAGTTTCACGGGCCGACTTCTGTCACCATAGGGACCGATTCTTTCTCCAAATTTCTAACACCCATGATTTGCTGTCATTGTTCAGTCCCCAAGCCCTGGCCCCACAGGCAGATAGGACACAGACACACAGGGATCCCATACCCACAGAGGCAGGCAGTTCTGCTGACCATGCACATGAATTTAGCAAACATTTATTGGCTCTTGGTCTTTGCCAGGAACTGGGCTGGAAGGAGACCCCAGACACTGAACGAGACTCCACCTCCCGGTGGAGGGGAAATGATCAGGAGGCCTTCTAGCCTCCTCCCCAGGAGGAGGTCCTGATTCCTCCCCCACCCCTACCACATAGCCTTGACAGGAGAAGGTGCTTCATCTATTATTCAGCAGGAAGTGTCTGTAAGACAAAAGCCAAGATAAAAATAGCTGGGTGGGTGGCTCCGAGATCAGGGACAGGGAAATAACCAGGAGCCCGTCTTGGGGCAGTGAAGGAGAGGGGCGGAGCAGGAAATGGGTGGAAGAGTGGGGAGGGTAGGAAGGAGAACCCCTGGTGTGAGGGGGTTTCTCCCACATTTAGGCCAGAAATCTCCCCACTGAGGTCTGTAGGAAAGCACTTGAGGGGGTCCACTGGACTGGGTGTGGGGGGAGGTGGGGTTCCTTCCACAGCTGGAGACAAGGATGCTGTTTGTTTGTTTTAAGATTTTATTTATTTGACAGAGAGAGCAAGAGAGCACAAGCAGGGGGAACAGAAGAGGGAGAGGGAGAAGCAGGTTCCCCCACTGAGCAGGGAGAGGGTTAAGGGACTCGATACCAGGACTCTGGGATCATGACCCAAGCCGAATGCAGACGATTAACCATCTGAGCCACCCAGACGCTGAGGATGCTGTTCTGAAGACCCAGGTGCCCTCAGCTGCTAAAAAGGGGCAGCCTGGGGAGAAGGCCAGCTTCAGCCTGAGCTGTGCTTCCTCAGACCTCCCTAATCTAAACAAAAACAACACCCTTCTCAGCCAGAGGTGCCTGTGGTGGCTCAGTTGGTTGAGCGGTTAAGCAGCTGACTTTAGCTCAGTTCATGATCTCAGGGTCCTGGGGTGAAGCACCCCCACCTCCACCCCACGAGCCCTGAGTCAGGAGTCTGCTTGTCCCTCTGGCCCTCCTCTCTCTCTCTCACACACACACACACACGTGTGCACGCTCTCTCTCAAATAAAATAAAATCTTAAAAAAAAATAGACACCCCTCTCAGCCGCAAAAAACAATGGAATCTTGCCATTTATGACAACATAGATAGACCTAGAAGGTATTATGCTAAGTGAAATAATTCAGACAGAAAAAAATAAATACCATATGTTTCACTTATACGTGGAATCTATAAAACAAGACAAGCAAACAAACAAAAAATACTCTTGGGGTGCCTGGCTGACTTAGCTGGTGGAGCATACAACTCTTGATCTCGGGGTTGTGAGTTCGAGTCCCATCCTGGGTGTAGAGATTACTTAAAAATAAAATCTTAAAAAAAAAAAAATACTCCTAAATACATAGAACAAACTGGTGGTTCTCAGAGGAAAGGTGGATGGGGGATGGGTGAAACAGGCAAAGGGGATTAGAAGGTACAAACTTCCATGTATATAATAAATAAATCACAAAGATGAAAAATACAGAATAGGGAATATGGGCAATAATCCTGTACCCTGACAGATGGTGACCACTCTTATAGTGGTGAGCACGGTCTAAGGTATGCAATTGTCGAATCAGTGTGTTGTGCACCTGAAATTAATGTAACACTGTATATCCACTATACTTCAAAAACCCTTCCCAAACCTCCTGACTCCGTCTTTCATTCAGTTAATCAGGTCAGTATGAATCCAACTGTTCCGAGCAGGTGTTGGGGACAAAGTGAGTGACAGACATGGCCTTAGCCTCTGGAGCCCACAGAGCCTGGGATGGCTGCCTCCAGTGGGAAAGTGGGGAAAGAATTCCAGCGGGGAGGTTGAGTTCAAAGGGACAGACAGCAGGAGGAAGCTTGCCTGTCTGAGGAACTGTGTGTGGTCCCCCACAGGGCCTGAGAGGTCCTTCATGGGTCCTCATTCCAAAGCTCCCTTTGGCAAGTGTTGAGATTACCAGAAATAAGAAGTAAAATGCGGCACGGGAGTGGGGGTGGGAAGGACAGGAAGTAAGGCAGGGAGGGAATGGGAGCCCATGGATCTGGTCTAGAGTTATCACTGCCCTGTCATGGGAGGAGGGAGAGCATGATGGCCCAAGTTCCAGGTGATTTCCCCAGGTGGCCCTTTTTCCTTTAGCCACACAGGCAGGGAGGTCCCTCTTTTTCCTGCAGGATGTGTGGGCCCCAGCTTTGTACAGACCCTAAACACCCCCCTACCCACCCCCCAGGCTTCACATCCCAAAGCACCCCCCCCCAGCTTCTGCACTGAGGCCCTGAGCAGCTCCCCTTTCCCAGCCAAGCTGAGCTTCTAGCTTCAGCAACAGACTCTGTGCTAGTCTCCTGCCCAAGAGGGCTTCCCAGGCATGATCAACTATTCCTCCCCCACATTACTGCTGATGCCACAGCTCTGAAGAAAGAAGACCTTCCTTCAGAGTTCCCCTGGGCTCCCCCAGGGCCAGGATCACAGAGTGTGTCTATGTCCAAGGATACAGTACCTGGCCCATGTGGTTGCCACCATCTAGGACCACTGACCCAGGCCATTGAGTCTTGGGGTGATGGGCAAGGAAACCAGAGGGCAGGGGGTGACTTGCTTGGTGGGGATCTGGAGGTCCCCGCAGGAGAGCCCAGGTGAATCCTGCCTGTGACACAGCCATGGAAGCCACTGGAGGAGAAGCAGGCTAACCTCTAGCAGTGACTCACCCTCTTTCTCCTTGATGGGCCCTGGCCAGGCAGGCGGCCGGCAACCATCTGATGAATTCAGCTGCACTTGGGAAATAAGTCTTGGCTCAGCCTCAGATGGGCTCAGGATGAGACACTCCAGTCTCAGCTTGTATGACTCAGATCACCCCCTCATTACAACCGGAGTCCAGTGCCCAGCAGCAGCTCAGGGAGACCTGGGACCGCAGGACGGTGACTCCAGGGCTGATGTCCGATGCTGCTCAGCATTACTGCCCAGGACTGTAGGGCTGCCACACAGCGGGTGCTCAGAGCAGAGACATGGGCAGGACGACCCTCCAATCTTTCCCCACCAGGGGGGAGACCTCCCCTCCCAGGGCACACAGCAGGACTGGACTCTGGTAGGAGAGTTACCACCCCCCCCAAATCTTGGCACTAAGTGCTCTTGGCCAGTCTTGCCCCAGTTCCCTGTCCTCAGGACTCAGTCACCCTCTCCTGCTGGCACTCGTCTCCTGACCAGACACTGGCCTGGGGCAGGCTCAGTCCAGGCAGCTTTGTGTTGAACCATGAGAATAAAGTAGGAAGCGGACCAAGCCAGAACTGAAGCCTCAGGGCATGATCACCTCTCACCATGCCCAGTGGCCCAGGACAAGAGTGTGACAATGTCTTCACCTTCCAAGGTCCACAGGAGTGGGAGTGGGATAAGGTACCTTAAAAAACAAACAAAAATCCTTGCCCAGTGATGCCACCAGACTGGTTTCCAACAATGGGATACGTTGTGGGAAATGTGATGACTGTCACTTTCCTGAGTGGCTTCCCACATCACCCACACTTCCAGGAGGGTGGCTGGCTACTGCACAGAGGCAGGTCCACCGACCAAGCCCTGGGCTAGAGGACCGGCCGGCACGGGGTACAAGAGCCTGGGGAAGGGCCACCCGCAGGCCCACCCCAGAAGTCCAGCACAACGCAACCAGCAGAGCCCCCCACCCCCACCCCAGAACTAAGGGCTGAAAGAAACGCCAGACTAGAGTCTTCACAAAGACAAAAAAATATCAAAACTCTCTCGACCTGGCCTCTAGAAACAAATATTCTCTGGTACACTCAGCAAAGGCCACGGCCCTAGAACGGGGTGCAGCCTCCGTTACAGTCTGAGGGTCGAGGCCTCACCGCAGCCACGGCCTCCATGGCGCGCCCCGGTTCTGCAGCCCCGCCCTAGGGGCGTTGGGGGGCTCCCCAGTCAGGCCTGGAGAGAGCCGCAACGCGAAGGCAGACCCAGGGCGCAGCAGGGGTAAGGGGCGGTCGAATGCCAGGAGCGGCGGGCAACCGGCGTAGAGCTCGGGCGCCCGGGCCTCCGCAGCGGGGGACGGTGGAGCCGGGCGGCGCGACGGCCCCAGCTGGCCCAGGCAGGCGGCCAGGTGGCCAAGCAGGCGAGAACGCACGTCGGCCGGGACGCCCTCGCAGCCGGCCAAGAAGCGATTCACCTCCGCTAGACACTCATTGAAGCCGGCGCGGTACTTGCCCAGGACGGCGGGGTCAGCGCTGAGCGCGGCTGCGGGGGCGGCAGGGGACAGGCGGTCGGTTCCCGCTCGGGTGGTCTTGTGCGCCTCCCGGTCACCCCCCCCCCCACGTCACTGCTGCCCTCGCCTCACCTGTCACCTGCACACGTCGCAGGCTCTGCAGGTGCCTCACGGTCATCTCCAGGATGTCTGCTTTCTCCAGCTTCGAATGGCGGGAACTCTGGGGGTAGGGCGGGTGGAGGAGGCTTGCAACCCATTAGTGCGCCAAGACTTCCGAGCTCCGCACCTCCGCCCCTCGACCTCACCTTCCGACCCCCACTTACATCCTTCCTGAAGGCGTCCAGGATGAGGGTCTTGAGCTGCGCGAGGCTTTCGTTGATGCGCGCTCGGCGCCGCTTCTCCATGACCGGCTTGGAGGACTGTGGGTCGGGCTGTGGCTGAGTCCCGCATCCGTCCGTCCCACCCCACGCCTCCCAACCCACGCCCCGCCAGGTCCCCACCTTTCGGTGCTCCGCCGCGCTTCGGGGCTTATTCGGGGTTCTGTTGGCGCTGGCCGGCGCTCCTGCCAGCGGCGAGGCTCTCGGCTTCCCTGGGGTGTCTGCAGGCATGGTGCGCCCCCGCGCCTCCGGAGCCAGGCGGACTGCGCCGCCGCGGGCTGGCGGGCGCGTGGCGTCCCCTGTTCTTCTCAATCAGGTCCCAGGCTGCAGGCCCGCGCGAAGACTTGCCAGCCGCTCGGCTATTTAAGGCCGCGCGGCCGCAGGGTGTGTGAACCCCGCTCGGCATTCTTTCCCACACTCTCGCCAGCCAATGAGAGGCTGCGCTCCGC